ACCCGTCTGGCCCAATTCCAGATTATAAATCTCCCTCTCAGATAGATAAGTATAAAATAATAATATACAACTAACGGCCCAAAAAAAGGTCAGAGAACCTCTTTGTTGGCACTGGAATTATTTCACCGGTGCATTTTTTCCTAAAGTTTATAAATGCCGGTAATTTTATCAGGATTTAATAAATGATGGAATCATTTTCAAACTTCAAGTATTGAATAATTTCCCAGACTCTCATAGTAAGATTTTTATTTTCATTTAATTTAAACTTCTTTTTTTTTATTCTTTTTTTTTTTTGGTAATAAAGTTTTTATTTTAATGTGGAAGGAATTGATCAAACTTAAATTATATACTGTACTTTTTTGACTCCTTCTCTAACATCACACTTTGCCGTGTCTCCGTCACCAGACACGGTTGTTGTTTTCGCTACGCATTACCTAACGTTAATACCAAACCAAATGCGCACAGCTAAGCAATTTCCTCATACCTGACTACAAAATTAGACCAATCACACTCTCTCTATATATATACATCCCCACACATTCGATAGACCCCACTTTTTTCCAAATTCAATAATTCCTAACATATCCAACAAACCCATCACATTATTTCATTTTTTTTTTATATTCAGAGTTCTCCATCATGGGATTGTTAGGGCGGCTAAGGAACGCGGTGAAGAAATTAAAATTTCTTCTAGATTTCAATGCTAATCGATGGCGACTCGCTTCAATGATTGCGAAGAGCAATAAGAGGGTGAGTTTCAATGACCGGCCTGGATTGAGAGCGTGCTGCGAAGATGATTTTGTTGAATTGTTTGATTCACCGGGATCTTCAAGCCTAGGAGGAGGAAGTGGACGAGGAGGAACACTTTCAAGAACATCGAGTTGTGTATCGGAAGATGATATTGACAAGAGAGCTGAGATGTTCATAGCTAATTTTCATCGTCAACTTCAATTAGATCGACAAATTTCTTTGGAACTCAGGTACTGCAGAGCTAATAGCATTGAGTCCACGTCAACTACCATGTCGCCTTAATCAACGTCGCTTAATTATGCACAATTCATGATTATTATGAGAAGGAACAGTTTGAAGTTCTCTGTGATGGAATCTGTGTTTTACGAGTCGATCTCCATTGCAAATTTTGCAGTAATTGGTTTGTTTTCCTTTTTTCTTATACAAAATTACAAATACTATTTTGTATGATTTTATTTCTTCTCTTCTTCTTTTACCCATCAATTTGGAGTGTGAAATTCTCTCTCTCTCTTTTTTTTTTGGGAAAGATTCCATCAAATGTTTGATTTTTTTCAGTTTTTTTTTTTTTTTTGGTTTTTTTTTATACTTTTTATCAATTTTGGTGATTAAAGATACTAAAATTTCTTCATATTTTATATTTAAAATATACTTTTATATGAAGATCTAATATCTAATAATTTAAATAGAATTAAAAAGTGAAATATTGATAAATTTTTTTGTAAATTCAAATATGTACTATTTTTTTATTATTATATGTTATTATTAATGTTAATAATATATTTTAAAATATACGTTAAAAATTATTCGAAATCGGTTCGTTATATAAATAAGTTAAGGTTAAATATATTTTAATATTATTAAGTTTTCAAGTTAAATTTTGACAAGTTATTATTTGGTTCAATAAGTTTATAAATATTCTAAAAAATTAAGTTATTTAAGATTAATTTGTTGTTTGTGTTGAGATTATTACACATTCCCAAACCTGAAAAGATCAAGTTATTCAAGTTTAATTTGTTATTTATGTTAAGATTATTAGACATTCCTAAACCTGACGCATCAAAGCAAAAAATCACATAGAATGTTTTATACATGTAAGTCGAACGTTATTTTTAGGGTGCTGGTCAAAAAGTTCAAACCAATTACTTATATTAATGGGTGAGAAAATCACTATATAACTAAAAACAAAAAAGCAATCATGAGACTGAAAAAACACCAAAAACAGGAAGCCTAAAATTACACCCATTTTCCCATACACCCTGGTGCCCTTAGCATTATTATTATTATTGTTATTAATTTTTAATTTTTAATTTATTTTACTTGCACAATAAAATTTCTAATATATATACAAGGGTAAATTACAAAAATATAGTAAATTTTATAAATTAGATATAATTATATTGATTCTTTTTAATAAACGTGAATAATATATACATTTTAGCATAAAATAAATGATAATATTATTTTTTCATCCATATAATTAATGAATTATAATGAAAATAAACCTAAGTAGAGTAAATTATAGGGATACAATAATTGTTTTAAAATCTTTTTAAAAATTCTATTTTCAGTATATCATATAGATGGCCATTGTTTTTGCACAACGAGTTAGGCATCTAACCTCAAAATGAGATCAACAAATGGTTTACCTCATCCATGATTTAACATCGGCGGCTGAAGCTCTTAATAAATAGTTTGTTTGGTTATATTCGGTAAACATAATTTCACATCCATTTATATTTTAGGTTTGGATGAAGTTTTCAAAATGTGATTCTATCACACATTTTAAAATGTAATTTTCCTTCACATTTGGTTACTCTCTCTTTCTTTTGTGTTCTTCATTATCAAAAGTAGATGATCTTTGAATTTTAAGTCTATCCGATCATTCCTCCAGACGTCCCCAGATGTCTAGCCGGTTATCCGACCGGTTGACCAGAACAACTTATATTATTATTATTATTATTATTATTATTTACAATTATCAATTGTCACTTGTTATTTGAAAGAAAAAAAAATTATACTTATTTTTGATATTTTTTTAAATATAAAAATTATTTTTTTAGATCAAAATGACATTTTTTTTTTAATGTTAAAAAGAGTTTGGTCATGAGTTTTGAATATAATTTTCAATAGAGTTTTGAATTTGGTGTTTGGTTATGAGTTATAAATTTTTGAGTTATTTTCAATTAAAAAAGTTTTATGTTATTGTTTTGTTGATAATTAATTTTTTGAATTGAATTTTAAAAAGAGTTTGGTTATGAGTGTTGATCAGAAATTTCAATAGAGTTTTGAATTGTGTGTTTGGTTATGAGTTATAACTTTTTAAATTAAGTTTTGAAAATTCTTTTCAAAATTCATAACCAAACAAATTTCTTATTTCACATATCACATCAAACATTCAAAACTCAAATCAACACTCAATTCAAAACTCATAACTAAATAAATTTTCTACACTTAAATCATAATTCCAAAACTCACAACCTCAAAATATAATTCTATTTTCAAATCATATTTCTAAAATTCTACCAAACGGTACCTTATTCTCTTTAAACTCAGTGTCGATATATAAATATGGACCAAAGTTTTTCTCTAGTCTATATTGGACTGGAAAGGATAATTAGGCTTCCACGAGTTCATTAAGAAACCCAAATCAATGATTTAATTTATTCAATTTGTAAATCTTGTCAAATATTTTATTTTTATAAAAATTTATGTTCATCGATTAGAAATAGTTACTTGATCTTGAGGGTAATTATTCAGTAATCCCAAATCATAGACACGTGGTATTCCATAATATTATGATTGATGGAGAATGTGAATAAGTGGAGTATTATGTTGGGTGATTGAAAAATAAGAGGGCACTACTAAAAAAAGTACTTTTTGCGACCGCTAGAAGCCGTCACAAATAATATAAAAACAGTCGCAAAAGACTTTTTGCAACGGCCCATGCGACGGCAAATGAGGGTCGCAAATGTGAGGGTGGCAAATACTTTTTGCGATCGCAAAATAGGAGTCACAAACTATTTGCGACCGTTTAACTTACTTATAGCGACTGGTATTTTGCCGTCGCAAAAAAGTTTAAAAAATGCCTACAATGTATTAGCAACCATCTTCTTACCGTCGCAAAAAAAAAAAAAAAACAAAAACAAATACCTGCAATCATATATATAGATATATATGTATATATATTAAAATATTATATACAATAAACGTAAAGACATTTGCAAAAATCTCAAAAAACTGGGATCTTGCTTTAAAATAAACTCTCTCAGTGAAGCTAACTCAAAAAAAAAAAAAAACAAAAAAAGAAATGTGAACGTCATACCTCTGTGTCATTGAAAACAGCATCTATATCATCAAGGTTCACATTCTCTCCCTGCTCGAATTGTGGTAGCTGGTAGCTTTTCTTGCACCAACCATTTTCTTGTTTATTCGCTACAATAGAACAGGCAGAGTTTAACAAGAAAATAAAAGATTTCATACGTGCATCTTTATTGAAGTTTAAACCAGGAAAGGATGTGGAGCTCACGGTGAGTGGATTAGGGTCCAAAATACGCATAATCAATTTTTTCCCCCCCAATGAAAACCACGATGGACAAGAAGAATCGGCCTTGTGGATCTGAAAAACAGTTAGTCCATTCATAATGTTCTTAATAAAATTTCAAAGCATCAGAAAACAGGTAGCAGAGTTCTTGAAACCTACTCTCCTGTACAAAGCCATGTGGTTCGGCTCGTCAAAAGGTAAGTATCCAGCCATAAGAACAAATAGAATGACCCCACAAGAGCATATATCAGCTGCTGTACCATCATAACCTTTATCAGTGAACACCTGATAGAAAGGGGAAAAAAAGAAAGAAAAAAGTATCACAAATGCAAGAAACTTACAAGAAAAGAAGAAAAAAATTGCATCAAAGCGACCATCCATTTCCATGACATCATAATTGATTCCTCAGGAGCAACATAATTCGGGGTTCTGCAGGCAGTGTGAAGCAGCCCGTCTTCCTATAGTAAAAAAGGTAGTCAGTCTTTGATTAAGCAAAGCCATAACACTAACTTATATTGATGAATGAGGGTCAGGTTTAAGGCAATCCATGACTTATGTGTCTGAATGACATTGAGATCATATAACCTCTATGTGGATTAGATCAAGTCTTAAAAAATGGTCACTGAATGTTTTCAAAGTGTCGAAATCTAGATGATGCATGATACAAAATCTTCATATGAAGAAGTCAAGTAATAAAACTAAACTGCCTCCTTCATTTGGGGAAACTAATATAAAAAGAGGGAAAGGAAAAACACAAAACATAAGAAAAAGTTCATTTCCAAATTAATAGAAACAAGAAATGAACAAGCCACTGAAGGATAGAAGAAAAACTAATGGCCACATTATTCCTGAGGAATTCCTTTCAGAATAAGGCACTGCTCCTGGCTAGAAAGGTAGCTTCTAGATTAGGTGATTTTAGTAAACCAAATAGACTGCAAAATTGACTCAGTGCTGTAACCACTTTTAAAAATTTAACGTTTAATTTATTAACACCCACCTGCTAAAAATCTGTTCTTAGATGAGGAAATTGTTGCAAACTCACATAATACTTACCCACACTTGCTGGGAAAATGCACTCAATCCAAAGTCTGAAACCTTGAGAACACCAAATGAGTCTAGAAGCAGATTCTCGGGCTGCAAAAGATGTAGGATAATGCAAATTTTAGAGTCATGGTCGAATAGATAGCCAAAGAAACCAAATTATTTTTAGATAATAAGTTCTTTTTTATAGGAAAAAATTAGAATAAATACATTAATTAATCAATGAAATATGTAAGAACGTTTGTTAAACCTTTAAGTCTCTATGGTACACACCTCTACTGTGGCAGTAGTCTACAGCATTGATGAGCTGCTGAAAATATCTCCTAGCTTCATCCTCTTTAAGTCTTCCTAGTTTGGCCTAGTTATACAAGGGTCAATAAGGGAATATTATCAGACAAATACAAGACTTGGTACCCACATGATTTACATAAATGAGCCTCAATAGAACACACATTACCACAACAAAATGGTAAGCATGACATGAGCAAATGCCTAAATTAAGATGTAATGCATTACACAATTTATTATATTATGAATGAAATTATAGGTGCTCAGAGAGTAGAAGCTCAAAAAACAATGCCTTACTATTTTGTCAAAAAGCTCGCCCCCACCAACATGCTCGAGCACAATGTAGATCTTTGTCTTGCTTGCCATAACCTATTTTCAAGCATAGAAAAAGGATGCATTAACATGTAAAGCATGAAGCACTTAGACCATCATATTTCTAGTAGTGCAAAGAGCATTCAATTCCTTTTAAATTCTGCTCATAAATATAAAAAAAAAATCAAAAAATGTTGCAACAAATAGACATATAGGATAGGCTACTAGTAGTTAGTTAGTTACCTTGGCATAGCAATTGACTCTTCTTAATCTGGCTTTCCTGTAAGATGGGAGCACATTAAGGGCAGTAGTCCAGTCCTCGATTGCTTTCTCAAATTGACCGAGTTTGGACCTGCAAGTGGCTCTGTTGCACAACAACACCGAGTTGTGGGGGTCATGGTCAAGTCCCTCTCCATATGCAACACAAGCCTCTGAGTATCTTTATCCCCTAAACAAATCGTTACCGTTGGATCGAGCCATTGCCACCGCCCGTGTCCTCCCAACCACCATGTTCACTTCCTTGCTGCTTGAGTCTAGCCGTGCTGCTCTTTGAGCCGCCACCACCGCATCATCAAATCTGTCGACATACGTCATTGCCCATATATATTAAAAAAACTATATCTTGGCTTAACAATTCAAAGTTAAAAACAAGTTTAAATTAGGGCAAATTACATATACCTCCCTCAAGATTTAGCTAAATTACAGATACCCCCTTGAGGTTTCAGAAATTACAGATACCCCACTGAGGTTTATATTTTCATAACAAATTGCCTCCTGAGGTTTATATTTTCATAACAATTTGCCCCCTAATTTGTTATGCAAATAGTACCTTCAGGGAGGTATTTGTAATTTCTCAAACCTCAAGGGGTATCTATAATTTTGCTAAACCTCAAGGAGGGTATATGTAATTTGCCCTTTAAATTAATAGTATAAGCTTTTTATGTTAAATATACTTGAAAATGCCAATTGTTTTCATGTTTACACTAGACAAAATTATATGCATAAAAAGTTGCATAGTGAAGTGGTTAGAAAATTAACTGTGTGATGAAGAATCAAGGTTTGTGAATAGTGGTAGCAAGAGACAAATTATTGGTTGTGGTATTAGAAATGTTGAGCAATATGTATCCAAAATCAGATGATACAATTGTGAATTTTGTTTTATTTATTTTTAAATCATCAGTAGCAAAAAAAAGTTTTATAGTAGCTAAATCAACTATAATCAATCATGAACCAATTGTATTAACTGTGAACTAAATCATGAATCAGTTATAAACCGATATACGTATCGCAAACTGGCTGATATATATGATTTTCATTTCTATTAATTCTGGTATTAAAAGGCTAAAACCCAATACATACTGCATCTATGAATATCAAAAATCATGAGTGAGAGTCATACTCCAAATTAATCTTATCCACGTATACATTTTATTTCTGATCACTGGCAACTTTTTCTAACTGCATAGAATCGTTGGTGACCAACACCAGCAATTTAGAAAGAGATGATGCATTTTGAGTCTGGCTTTTTGGGTAACAAGTCAAAGGTTTACCAACTCTAATCTTTATGCTTTCTTTTTTACTCTTTTCTTTATCCGTAAGTTTTTACCTTTTGAACTGTTCTTAAAAAAACACAATTAGCGTCTTCAACACACTAACAGACTTGCATGACCAATAGGCCCAAAGAATTGAGTGCAATCATCAATGTCAAAATTTGGTTCCTTTGTCAATGCTTCATCTGCTTCTTGAAGCCTATACAGCTTCAGCAAGGCCTCAGCTTGCAATGCAAAAATCTTACCAACAACTAAAACAAAGCACTCATGTCAATTTCAAGCCTATAGCTGTGGCACCAAACCTTGAAAAGAGAACATAACATTTAAAGGCTGAAATTGAAGTGTATAGCTAACCTGTGGGGCAGAATCAGCACCAGCTGATATGGCGAGCCTGGTTTCTTTCAATAATGTGTTCCAATCTCGTTGCATCTTGGCCTCAGTACACTTATTCAGACGAACCTGAAGATTTATAGCTTTAGTCAAGACATCAGGGTCTGATTCAGCACCAGCTTGTTTATAGTGATACATTGCCTTTTCTGTTTCTCCTAATTTGCAATCACAAATATATATTACAACAACAATAGTGATGCCCAATCAAGCATAATGTACATAACTAACTGACAATTAAAGATCTGAAAACTAAAAGATGATTAAAATTTTTTTATCATGCTTTAAATAGTAAGAGACGAATTAGTATTGGTCGAAGTGCAGTGATATATAGAGTATTGAAAGATATGTATTGAGAATTTTGGTGGCATAATTAAAGATATGAACAATGGCCTCCAATATAGAAAATCAAATGTTGTCACGAACCATTCTTGTTGCAGGTTTCCAAGAAAAACATTCATAGATAAACAACGGCCTCCAAGTGCCATAGAACAATGTAAATGAAAAGATCAAAAATACTAATCTGTTCGATCATGAGCATCACATCGAACAGAAAAAAAGAAAAAGAAAAAAAAGATTGACTCACTAAGTATAACAGCTATATAAACAATAGAGGATTGGATTGAACAGCTATATAACAGCTATATAATCTATTCAATTTTGTTATTTATCGAACGCTATAAGGTCCGAATATATTGTTAAGCAAATTACATAAGAGATGTCAGAAATTTGGATATAGAAAATACACATTCATCATTTTTGCAGCACAGAAAAACCAATGCCTAAATCAAATTCTAGAAAGCACATATGAAATTCACCAAAATACGACTATAGCTAAAATCCACACACATGCTCCAATCTAACATGACATAAAAAAATAATAATAATAATTCGAATTCAGAACTGAAATCAAGCAAGTTCAGAGCAAGTTCATCATTTTCGCAGCACAGAAAATACGCAATTAAGAATTGAATGGTTCAACTTGTTCCTGTAGCAGACGAGGAAGGATTGATTGAAACCAAAGCTTCGTCGAAAGGTGATCTATGGTTGTGACTATAGTGAGTTCAAATGATAAGAAACAAGTGATTGAAGTAAAGAGACAAAGAAGTTGAAATACGAATGAATGATTCGAAGACTCACTGAGAGAGAGAGAGAGAGTTCATGCCGTTAGAGGTCTCTTCTTCAGACGATCATGGTGATCTATAGAGCGAAATCGAGAGAGGGAAATCAGATTCTCTTACTCAGACACGATCGAGCGAAATCAGATTGGGGGGGAAATGAGAGTCTTGGGTGAAATCAGTCTCTGTTAGGGCATAGGAAGAAAAGGGCAAAATAAACAAAAGAATAAATTATCCAGGTTGCTACTGCAAATATTATTTTTTGCGACGGTCAAATAATCAGTCGCAAAAAAATTAGTCGCAAAAAGCCACTCTTCTAGTAGTAGGGGCATATTAAATAATGATTGGTTAGGAAATATAACCACATGGTACTTCGGAAATATTAAATAATTTTCTTTTGATCATATCACATTTATATCAACGATAAGTATAGTTTTAAAAATAAATTGTTGATATAAATATTATTTGATCAAGTAACTTTCAATATACGATCAAGGTGATTTTTTGTAAGGATAAAATACTTAATGAATTTTATACATTAAACAAATTATTGATGTGAGTTCCATGATATATCTATAGAAACCTAACAACACCCTCAAATTGATTTTCAAGCCTCTCCCTAATTCTAACCACTCAAAAAATTTGTCATGAAATGTAACCATCAAAGGTGATGTGTGGTCTATATTTAAGTTTCGTTTGGTTTTAAATTTTTGGTTAAAAAAATATAAAAAAATAAAATTGACTACATAAGTCAATAAATTAAAATGTCACATCCAAACTATAATTATTATACGAAAAATGTCACATCCAAAAGTCAAAAAAACCAAAAAAGACAAATCAAACGAAGCTAAAAAAACTAAACTAAAAAAGTCTCAATACAAAAAAATCAGCTAAAAAAGCTAATATCAAACGAAGACTTTGTTATTTTGTGTGGATTTTATACTTGGATTAGTGGCTGTTTTGGTAATAATTTATTTTAATAAAAAAGGCAAAAATCACTATACAAAAATTAATTATTTTCTCTACATTTTGTAATTTAAATTTAGATCACATGTTAATTTGTCCAAAATCCCTTTGGTTTGTGACTTTTTGACAAAAAAAGCTAAAAAAAAATAAAATATCATATTATACATATCGATCAGTTTTTTCCCTCACAATAATCCATTCAATAAAATAAATAAATAAATAAATCATTCTACAGAATCAAATTACCAAATCGGCACCGACTCTGAGTAAAACTTTGAAGTAAATTTTCTCAAGTTATATATTGGCAGCCGGCCAACTCACGGGTCTTTTTACAATCATTTTCTTTCGGACCAAGTAACACCAAGCAAACACACACAGCTAAGCAATTCCCTCATACCTGACTACAAAATTAGACCAATCACATATATATATCCCCACACATATTCCATAGACCCCACTTTTTTCAAAATTCAATAATTCAAATCTCACATATCCAACAAACCCATCATATTATTTCATTTCATTTCATTTCATTTTTTTTTTTATTTATTCAGAGTTCTCAATCATGGGATTGTTGGGGCGGCTAAGGAACGCAGTGAACAAAATAAAATTTCTTCTAGATTTCAATGCTAATCGATGGCGACTTGCTTCGACGATTACGAAGAGCAATAGGAGGGTGAGTTTCAATGATCGGCCTGGATTGAGAGCGTGCTGCGAAGATGATTTTGTTGAATTGTTTGATTCACCGGGATCTTCAAGCCTAGGAGGAGGAAGTGGACGAGGAGGAACACTTTCAAGAACATCGAGTTGTGTATCGGAAGATGATATTGACAAGAGAGCTGAGATGTTCATAGCTAATTTTCATCGTCAACTTCAATTAGATCGACAAATTTCTTTGGAACTCAGGTACTGCAGAGCTAATAGCATTGAGTCCACGTCAACTACCATGTCGCCTTAATCAACGTCGCTTAATTATGCACAATTCATGATTATTATGAGATGGAACAATTTGAAGTTCTCTGTGATGGAATCTGTGTTTTACGAGTCGATCTCCATTGCAAATTTTGCAGTAATTGGTTTGTTTTCCTTTTTTCTTATACAAAATTACAAATACTATTTTGTATGCATTTTTTTTATTCTCTGCTTCTTTTGCCCATCAATTTGGAGTGTGAAATTTTCTCTCCTTTTTTGTTTTTTGGGAAAGATTCCATCAATTTTTTTTTTTTTTAAATTTTTTTTATGGGTTTCGGATTCTTTTGTTAAATGTATTGTACAGATTGAATGAAAAAACATGATATGAAATATGTGTTTAATATTTGATTGTGTTGTACATAGAAATTTTGTTCATCAATTAGCCAAATAAACCGGTTTGTTGTCTACTGATAATTTTTTTTTTTGGTAGCTTGGAATCATTTTTTTTAGGACACTTTCATTTTTTTGGTTTTTGGTACGACATATCTGAATTGCTTTTATTTTAAAAGTTTGTACTAAATTGTTTATAAATTAAAAGTTAATAATCAAAAAGTATAGTCAAAAACCAAACTTCTCCTAACTTTTTGATATTCAATTTAGTTTAACACAGATTTTTAAAATAAAATAAATTATAATTAACTCATTTAAGCTATAATATGTTTGCCTACGTTTTGGTAATTACTTATACTGTTATCACTATTTGGGCATGGCACATTGATCAAACAAGAGAAAACAATATACAATTTGTTTTTTGGGCGAAACTTGGATTTGATGTTGTTCCTTTACTTCTTCGAAGTTTGAGGGTTGGTTTGGAAATTAATTTTTTTCATAATTTTTGATTTTTTAACTAAAATTTCTACTTTCAAAACAAGGCCCATGTAACTCTTTTATTGCACAAATGACTTTGTCAAAAACATTCCCCTCCCAAAGATAAAGATAGTAAAACATAGTTGGCTTGCACAATAAAATTACTAATATATATACAAGGGTAAATTATGAAAATATAGTAAATTTTACAAATTTATTATAATTATATTGATTTTTTTAATTTATTTATAAACATGGATAATATATACATTTTAGCATAAAATAAATGATGATATTATTTTTTCATCTACATAATTAATGAATTATAATGAAAATAAACCTAAGTAAAGTAAATTATAGGGATACAATAATTTTTTTTAAATCTTTTTAAAAATTCTATTTTGAGTATATGATATAGGTGGCCATTGTTTTTGCACAAGGAGTTAGACATCTGACCTCAAAATGAGATCAACAAATGGTTTACCTCACCCATGATTTAACATTGGCGGCTGAAGCTCTTAATGAATAGTTTTAGAAAACTTTCAAACCTTATTCTCTTCAAGCTTATTGCCGATATATAAATATGGGCTAAGGCATTTCTTCGGTCTATATTGGACTGGAAAGTATAATTAGGCTTTCGTGAGTTTATCATGAAATTCGCATCAATGATTTAACATATTTAATGTGTAAAATTCGTTAAATATTTTATTTTTGTAAAAATTTACGTTGATTGAATACCAATAGTTATATGATCATATCACATATGTATCAACGATAAATATAATTTTAAATATAAATTGTTGATACAAATATGATTTGATCAAGTAACTATATATTGATATATAATCAAAACAATTTTTTACAAGAATGAAATACTTGATAAATTCTACACATTGAACGGATTATTGTTGTGAGCACCATAATAGATCTATAAAAACCTAACAACACCCTCCAATTGATTTTCAAACCACTCCCTAAATCCAACTACTCAAAAAAGAAATATAACCATTAAAGATGATGTGCGGTCTATATTTAGGGTCAATTTGGAAAGATTGGCTTTATAGCTTTCTTTTTTCTAATTTTTTTGATTTTTTTAAGTCTTATCACCTCTCTATTTTCTTATACAAAAAAAATAAAATAAAAAAAACTAAAAAAACCAAAAACTTATTTTTTACCATCTTCTCAAAACAACACTTATTTTGTGGTGGATTTTATACTTGGATAGGATGAGTGGCTGTTTTGGTAATAATTTATTTTAGTAAAAAGGCAAAAATCACTGTACAAAAATTAATTATTCTCTACTTTTTGTAATTTAAATTTGGATCACATGTTAAGGCCTCGTTTGAGAACAGACTAATTTAGTAATTTTTTAGATATTTGGTTAAAATATGAGCTAAAAAAAATTTGTATGTTTGGGATGACTTTTTGACTTTTTACGAAAAGATGTGCAAAAAGTAAAAAAAAAAGAGAATCTTTGACTTTTTGGTATGAATTGTTGACTTTTTGACTTTTTTAATAATTTTTTGGCTTTTTAGTTAAGCCGATCGCTTCCCAAACGAGGCCTAAAAAAATTAAAATATTATATTATATATATCGATCAATCATTTTTTCTCTCACAATAATCTATTTAATAAAAAAAATCATTCCAAAAATCACTAATAGAATCAAATTATCAAATAGGCACTGACTTTGGGAAATTATTCAATAATCCCGAAAGACCATGTAGTTATACTCCAAATTAATCATCAATTATTTAGCTCTATGTTATTCTCCTATTTTTAACATAAATCGTAAACCTCTAACCCTCTCTACTAATCAAAACTATATAAAACACTACGTATCTATATTCCGAGAATACTAAAAGTTGTTTGAGATGATTTACATAAGTACACTTTTTAATTTTTTACGAAAAAATATAAAATATGAGTTATGTTTGAAATAATGTAATAGAGAAATAATTTAATTTAAATAAAATAATATGACTTAAATAAAATAATAACTTTTAAATTTTTTTATATTACACCAAACTAGGCCGAAATAATTACTCCTCCACTCGGAGTAAAACTTTTGATAAATTTTCTCGACTTATATATTGGCAACTGGCCAACTCATGATTCTTTTCACAATCATTTTCTTTCGGACCAAGTAACTTGCAGCGTACAACAACCAAAAAGTACTCTCTTCGTTTCTAAATAATAATTCTTTTTGAAAATTTAATTTTTTTATAATATAATTATTATTTTTAAAAAATATTAATCGTCATAATTATACTTTTTATATTATTAATAAATATAAAAGAAGGATAAAATAATAAATCAAAAATGTTAAAGATCCCAGAAATTCTATCAAAAGTTATATCAAATGTCTTACACAGGTGTGAGATTCACATGAGACTCATATTATGTGGGTCCTATACTCATATGATACATTTGATTGAAATTTTGATAGAATTTTTGGGATATCTAACATTATTCATAATAAATTCATATTATTTTATTCTTTAATTTTTGAAAATAGACTAATATTATGAGATAATAAAAAATTAAATATCTGACTAATATTTTGAGATAGAAAGAGTAATTTTTAATTTAAAAACAACAAGGAAAAAGTTAAAATGCCACCGACTTATTTGTCATAGTTAAAAAAAAAAAATTAAATATCATGTTAATTTTTTCATTAAAAAAAATAATTATGCTAGAAACTTTTTAAACACATTACTTTTCTTTAGGGTTTGCTGTTTAACTGTTTACTTATTTTATTTTATTTTTTTTTGAAACTTATCGTCTTTAATGAACTTTAAAAAAAAAAATCAAAAAATCTTAACTTTTTAGATTCAACTGATGAAACGAATTATAAAATTAAAAATTTTAAAACAAATTTCAGAAAAGACAAAAAAATAAGTAAAAAATAGTTTACTTTTTCAAAAAAAAAAATTAATTTTTTTTTTAGATTCATCTACATGAGGGATAACAAAAGTAAAATATTTTAACTTAATTTTAAAAAAAGTCACTAAAAAATAAAAGAGCAAAATTTATTTTAGTCATGTGAATTGAGGTCAAAGCATTTTTATCTCCTATGGTTTAAATATAACCAAAAAAGTTCACATGTAATTTTAGACTAAAATGCAATCATTAACATTGAGGGATGACAACGGATTGATTTTTTCAAATTTTGACGTGAACTTTTACTTTTAGACTAAATTATTTTAGTGATACAATTTCATACTTTGCTATAAACTCGATTGTTTTGACGTACTTACCACTATATTTTATCCTATCCAATCAATGCTCTCTCAAATAGGGTTAATCAAATTACCCATTGTATCGACGACCTGAACCAAACCAAACCGACCCTTTTGAGTTGGGTTGGGTTCTAAATGCCTGGGTTTGGTTATGAGTTTTCAAATTATCAAACCAATAGGATTGGGTTGATTATTAGTTTAGGTTTTGCCTAAACTGAACTAACTCAAGAACCGAACCTATTTATATTGACATAATTGGTCTATTATAACGAACTTGATTGGATTTAATAATTTCCCACATGTATGAATTATTAGGTCAATCGAGAAAATTTTAGAAAACACTAGAACTTTGAGTTGGATTTCGTAATTGATTTAATTTATATTGATTACATTTAAACTTGAGTTGGATTTAATTTGTATTGGTTTGCATTAAATAATATTTTACTCTTTATTTGTGTTATGTTTAAATGTTAAAGACTTATTTATTTTAATTATTTGTTATTAATTGATTCATTTATTTTCAATATAGTGGAACCATGGTTGCAACTCGAACTAATCTGAGCTACATTGGGTTGGGATGTGTTGGTTCTATTGCATGAATGGTTTGGTTTTTGGATCTAAAAATTCGGAACCAATTATGATTAGGTTGGTTTTAAATTTAGTGTCAAATCAAACCAAATCGATCCATGAACACCCCTACTCAAACTATTTATACTAAAATTGGGTTGGAACAAATACAACCGAGTCGGGGAAATTTTTCCAAATGACTGTAATACCCTCAAACCCTATATATATATATATATATTTTTGTTATTTTCTTTATCTATCATCT